TTTCGAGTGACGACAGCTGTGTGTTCTCTGGCGAATGCGGGCAATGATACCAAATGCATGATTACTTGATCGCGGGACGTGTCTTTGAAGTATTAGGATGAGGAGGGCACTATGTATGAGTGTGTCTAGCCGTTCCTCTACCTATTCAGTAATCGTGTCATGTGCCTTGAATGTTAGAAATCTTCAAATAGGGAAAGATACCCAGAAGCTATGTTCAGGCTTGGCAAGAAGGTCGTACGTGTCTGGAAGACGCACAGCAACACCACTGTTCGAATTGTTCACGAAAGTGTTCGACCTAAAATAAGGTAGTTCAGGTGATATTGAACCTTTACACAAAATGGTTAGGTTCAAACCAAATGTTCCAATGGAATATGTTTGCAGACGCGAACAGATCGCGATGTGTCTCAATCACTGGCCCATGATTATCGGCTACTGAACAGTTGTCCAGATGATAGTGGATCTGAAAACAAACGAATACACTGGAGAAATGAATGAAAAAAGAAATTGAGGTACCTCTGAGATAGGAGTATTGGGTAGGACTTCGTGTTGTGGCGAATGGATCCAAATGACGGCTTCAGAATTTCGAGTGAAGTTCACCTTGAAATAGAGAAATTCGATCTTCTGATATGTACTGATGGGCACTGCCCGAGCACCTGTGTTTTATCGCAAGTTTTTGAGATGCACGCGATGTATGCACTGGCGTGAAAGGTCGATGTACGCTTGAAACACCGGCGTTGACTTTAAAAGCACTGGGCTGGGCCGGGAGGGTGGGGGGGGTGCCATTCTTCAGTGAAGGCAAAGGTGGTGTTGTGGTATTTGGCTACCTTATACGGTTCCGAGCGTCTGATCTCGGGTCGGTTCTTGCTCAGACCAACCGAGCCTTTACTCTCGGCGGACGGTTAATTGGTACCAGATTCGTCTGGGAGGATAGGAACACTGACTTGTACATCGGCTGGCCCCGCAAGTCATTGTATAGGCCACATCGCATTCAATAAGCCACTACGATTCTGAATGGAAGTTGAATGCGTGCCGCATCTTGAAAAGGATTGATCAAAAGGGTAGACCTTATCCTTTCATCCTACAGAGCTTTCGTTCGTAGATGAACCTATATGAGCACATCAGCATCATTCTTGCGGGGTCCTTGCCAGTTGTTAGGCACCTTTTGGATGCCATTTACGCTTAGCAGTGCAGGTTGGCGTGACGCAAGGTAGAGCATCAGCATGATTCTTTCATAGAACTCGGCTTGGATCATTTTCATTACCGTAAAAAAGAGTTCGCAAGATAGGCAAAAGGTCCAGTGCACATGTCATGATTCCTCGGTGCTGCAGGATAGCCATACAGTAGATGCATGAGCTTCGTCAAACTTTTTTGGCGCATGCGGTTTGATAGTTTCATGTTGGAGCAAACGCAGGGACACATTTTTCCCCTCTGATCGCAGCTTTGCTAAGATCTTGCAGCTGCTGGGGTTGGCCTTGGAAGCCGCTTCTACATCCAGCAATTCCATATGACTCAGTCCTCTCAAGTTTAGTTCGAGACACTTAGACCTCACTTTCTTTTCAAGACTGCGGCCTCTCCTTTGCAAG